ATTCTCAACGGAAGGAGAGCAGCCATAGAAGACATGAAACACGCAAATTGTGCAATGCACACAGACCCATTTTACTTAACTACTTAATTTTGATAAAAAGTTTTGCTTTGTACAACAGAATTTCGTTGTTGTCGTCTTCATATTACACAGTCCCACTGAAATTTCCCTTAACCGTATCCTTCCTATTATATTACATCTCTACAGGATACAATAATAGTTTGTGGCCGAATGGTGCCATGTTGATATTGCTCTGCGTAGTTCTGATAAATTGGAGCCATAAGTCTACAAATAGTGATCAGACGAGCACATGTGATTATTAAAAGAGGATTGGGATAGGGCCAAATATGTTTTCGTTTAAAGGGACTGCTATCGGTATTTCAAAAAATGCATGCCTGATTCGCAAGGGTACCCTTTAAAACATCGTCTGAACAAAAACGATCAAGATATCTTTGTTTCTCTGATAATTTTCAATTGAGGTTTTTCTAGAAAAGTGTCTTGCGGATTTATAAGCAGGGACAAAGAAATACGTTAACAGAATTTAACACATTTTAATATAGCCAAACGATAATTTGTCTGTAATTTATGCTCGGATAAATAAATATAGTGAACAACAAATAGATTATCAAGTACAATAGGTGACAACGGAGAAATGGACCAATTATACACGACATCACAAGTGTCAAATATAACAAGGAAAACGAAGTTTTCTCATATTAGTTAACAAGTGTTCCAAGATTAAATAAAAAAGTGCAAGCACAGAAAATAAAGAACACATAAAATTGCACTTATTTTATTGTAAGAAAGATTGAAAGACTAACTATTATTAATAATTTTGTCGGACACAAAAACTAAGTTGACACTTGTGACGTAAGAAACTGTACTGAGAGTGTACGAATTCTACGTTACCACCTATTGTACTTGAAAATCTATTTTGTGAAGAAAAGAGTAAAATAACGACATTAAAATAACGTTCTCGTAATGTAAGAAAAAATTTTGTATTTTGCTGTTTTAATTTTCAAATTTTTTTTCATTTACTATAAGGGTTCAATGGAAGTAATAGAAGGACTATTACAAGAAATAATGTTTGAAACCTTAACACTAATGAAAAACGCCAAAAAACATTAAATAAACTTTAAAAATTGTCTTGAAAAAAAACTAATTTCAAATTAACGTCCTCAGAGAGGGAAATAAAAAAGAAGATTAAAAAACAAGGATTTCTTTGTCCTCGTTTTTTGTTCACTCGAAGGTGTGACGGGTATCGTTGTGAATCGATCAGGCACATATAATAAATAATGGGTTTTCCTGGTTCGGTATACATTGAAGAAATTGATCCTGTATATCATATTTGAAAGTCCAAACTCCAATATAAGAAAAATATAAAAAAAATATAAAACTAACTTCAAAAATGAATGAGATATCCATATTATTAAAACTGATTAGTTTCGGTTGTGGTGTTTCTTTCAAAAATTTTTACGGATTCATGGCAGGAAGAAAATTGTAAAAACTAAAAACTGTTCAAGATGGAAAAATGACTATATCTTCCTCATTGTTACTTAGAGAAAGGTTTAACCTAGGGTAACGTTGTGAACAGAACGTGTCCTTTCTTGGAAATTACGCCAGCAGTTCCCTTAAAATTTAATATATTTCGATAGAAGTTGAGGAAAAAAAACATTATTTTTCAGAAGTTTTAAGTTAACAAAAAATGGATCCAGAGATACTTAAATTTAAGGTAACCAAGGTTCAATAGATTTCCGTACGTTTTGAAGAGAACTGGTTTGAAAAATTTGCTCCAACTATGAATTAAAAAAAGTTCAAAAGTTTGAGCGTTCTAGTGTAAGCCATTTTTAAGTTAAGAATAACCGCAGGGGGGTTGAAAAATACTCCCCCCCCCATCTTGGTAGGGTTAAATATAGGGTGTCCCAATAAACATGAGAATTAAGAGATGACTGGAATTGACAGAGATATAAAACATTTGAACCACATTTTGGAAATCCCTAGACCAGTAGTTTTTGTTAATTGTTGTAACTGTGATACTACAAAATCATATTTGGGAAATAATCCCGCTAGAAACAAAGACGATAAAGAAGTCGTCAATTGATTCTCATGTTTATTGGGACACCCTGTATGTCAAAATACAAAAACTGTATCTTCTCTTTCCACCTGACATTTATAATTCTTTAATCAGAATCAATTTTCCATCAAATCTTATATACTTAAGCTAGTCTGGGTTTAAGTAAACAACATTAATTTATCTGTAAAAGTTCAATGAACTCTATTAGTACAGTTTTGCAATCCAATAATTTAATTTTAAAAATAAAAAAGTAAATTCTCGGAATTTCTAGACATGTATTTGCAAAAATAGACCTCTGCAACTGTATCAAACGAGCGGGGGAAGGCAGGCGGCCATGAGCCACCACTATTTCCCCTTCCGTACCACCACATTTGACTCTTCCGTGCAAAACTACTTTTTAAATGATATATTTAGGGCCGCGTTACGCAAAAAAGCACAACTCAAACAAATTTTTCAATTCTACTTAAGATTAATATTTTGTGTGTCTTAGACTGTTTTACAATGAAATTTTTGACAAATTTGACTGAGTATTGCATCTTGAAATATCACAAAGTTGGTTAATGAGTGATTTTAAGATGGATTCAGTATAATGAGTCAGTAGTTGAATAATCATTAGACTTTAGTTTAAAATCTAGATTTTAGTTTAAAAAGAACTAAATATCCACATTTATTGAAAATATATTTCGGTCTGGATTGACCCTCGTCAGTTCTTGAGACTGTTTCTGTCAGGAAGATTAAAAACAAAACAAACAAACAAAAACAAACAAACAAACGCCCAAACAAACAAATGATGAACCATGTAACTTTCTTGTATTTAAATTGACTTAAGAATAACTAAACAAGAAAACTTTGAGCGACACTGTAAGTTGTATGTGGGCACTTTTGTATTTGAGGATTAATGCATGCTTGATTCCGAGATTCACAGTTTTCACTTTTGTCTAAGCTTTAAAATCCTAAACAGTATCCATGCTTATAGTAGCCAGAAATCCAGAAATCCAGAAATCCAGAAATCGAGAAATCCAGAAATCCGGAAATCCGGAAATCCAGAAATCCAGAAATCCGGAATTCCAGAAATCCAGAAATCCGGAAATCCGTAAATCCAGAAATCTGTAAATCCGTAAATCCGTAAATCTAAAAATCCGACACAAAAATATATTTGTTTTTAGATTTTAGTTCTAGGAGACAGTGGGACAGGAAAAACATCAATAGTCAGGTGGGAACCAAGTGTTTTTGAGGAACTGTGGGTGTTCTTTCAAACTGTGAACTAATAATTTTTATTTCTAAAAGTTGCTCATCGTCAAAAAATACTAACAATCCACCACCAACTTATATTAAATACAATGTACACAATAAATATGTAACTTTCCTTTTCCTTACCTTTCCTTTTCCTTTATTTCTATTTTTATATTTTTGTTAAAAATTGGGGGGAAATATTTCCACAACCTCTACTTTTAGAGGTTTTAAAATATTTTCTCCTGAAACACTTTATTTTGTATGTTTTTGTTATATTTCATAAATAAAAAATTTTTTACTTTTTTTTGACCCACCATTTAGAGGTTTCGATTCACAACAGTACTATTTAACCCTGTCACGATTAGGGGGNGACAGGCCAAATTTATATATAGATGTATTACATTGTACAAATTTTAACTTTATTTTCAAATCGTGAACATAAAGACGGATTTTATTCCAATTTATCATGAATACGATCGTACATTTTTCCTTAGTTATTATTCTAAAACATGAGTTGTTGAAGTGTTTTTCTAATTATGTATTCTGTAAAATTATTTGTTTGTTCCAAAAATGTGGCCTAATATGACTCGAAAGTGGGGTTATGGTCGATCGGTATTCTAAACTTAATTCTTGAAATTCGTAAAATAAAAGTTTAGCAAATTGGTAACATTTTCATCATTATTTAATACCATGAGAGAAAATGCTCGCTAAGAAGAAAATACAAAATCGTTTGTTCTGTGAAATATGCTTTCTCTTCCTCTAAGTTCAGCTGTCCAATCTAAATTTACGTAGTGGTAAATGGGCTGTAACACCAGGGTCTTCTCAAGCCTGTAATTAGTTCCTGCAATTAGTCCCTGTAATTAGTCAACTAATTTGATAAAATGAAACATATTTGACAGTGATGCAAATTTAGATCTTTAGTTTATGTTTGTTATGATTTTGAGATTATTTTAATTGTTATTTTTTAACCTTAAACAGATTAGGATATTTTTATCAAATTAAAATCTATCCATGGGGGATCAGGAAAAGAATGTGTTATGAGCAAGTGAGCTTTTTTTTAAATTGCAAACAGATAAAAATAGCAGCTTTTTTTCTTAAAAATATACAAATCTTGTTTTTTTACCTCATAAAAAAATTCATAAACAAATCCATGGATTGGGGGAAGGTTATAAAGTTAATTGTTTCTTGAGGTGATGCAATCAGAGAAAAATATGGGTCGAGTCTTGAATTTTTCCAGTAGTCTAATTTTTAACTATTAAATCACGTTAACAAAACTCACCAATTTGAGTTTTAGCCTCAAGACTGAGCTTTTAAAACCGTGGCCTTTAAACACTAAAAAAGGTTTTTTTTTATCAAATTAAAATCTATCGAGGGGGGATCAGAAAAAGAATGTGTTATGAGCAATCGGAGCATACAAAAAAAGTTAATTCTCCGGCGTTTGCATTTATGTATTTTGCAGTTTATCCAACTTTTTTCATCATGATCCCTGAAAATCACTTGTTTCAGGGGAAATGAGTGTTGTCATCATAAAAGAAAACAATATATACTATATTGTTAGACGTGAGAAATGTATTAAAGCTTATCTTAACTTCCTAGTAATAAATAGTCAAGGTTTAAATAGTAAAAAGCCTACGTAAGTAATTATACATAATCCCTGCTCAGCTCTGTAATCTCTGTATATTTAAGATAGGCTGCTCTGCAGTAGAATCAGCAGTTCTATCGGAGAAGCTATAGGACAACATGAAACTAGCATTGCTCGGTTCCCTCATCGGGATTCTGACCACTTTCAGTCACAAGGCTCAAGGAAGCAGTGCCACAAGAGATGGGACAGAGAAGGTTGTAATGTGCTATTTCGAGGGTTGGGCAACATATCGTAACGGAGATGGACAATTTGATGTTGAAGATCTTGATCCATTTCTGTGCACACATCTCATGTTTGGGTTTGCAGGCTTACATCCTACCAAGCACACTATTATGTCTCTAGATCCTTGGAACGATCTGTATGATAATTGGGGGAAAGGAGCTTTTGATAGGTTTAATCGGTTGAAACTTTATAATCCCGGTCTAAAAACTATTCTTGCTATTGGAGGATGGAATGAAGGTTCTGAGAATTATTCGGACATGGCGCTAACTCAGGAGGGCAGAACTACATTTATATCTAGCTGTCTTGATATGATTCTTAGGCACGGATTTGATGGTTTGGATATGGACTGGGAGTATCCAGGGGGTAGAGCTGATAGTTTAGGAAGACCAGAGGACAAGCAGAATTTTATAAGCCTACTCAGAGAGATGAGAGAAAGGTTTGACGAACATGGACTCATCATAACAGCAGCAGTTTCAGCTGGATATAGTACAATAGATCAGGCCTATGATATCCCTGCAATGTCCGAACTATTGGATTATATAAACCTAATGAGTTATGATTACCATGGTTGGTGGGAGGGACATGCATTTACAGGACACAATTCTCCTCTTTATGGAAGTCCTGCAGAGGAGGTCGAAGAATCTCCAGGATACAGGATGAACACAAACTACTCTGTAAACTACTTTCTGGAGAACGGAGCTAAAAGGTCCCAGCTTCTGGTCGGTATGACAGCGTATGGACGAGGTTTCACATTAAAAAATAAGGATGATAATGGAGTGTATGCTGAGGCTATTGCTGGATCCCCTGCAGGTCCTTATACTCAAACTGATGGATATCTAGGCTATCATGAAATATGTGAAAGGATCTTGAGTTCTGGAGATTGGAATATAGTTCGGGATGAGTATGCTATTACTCCGTACGCAGTTAAGGACAATGTGTGGATCAGCTACGACGATGAGGAGAGTGTGAGGATAAAATCCCAATATGTTCTATCTGAGGACCTGGGTGGCGCAATGTTCTGGGCTGTTGACACAGATGATTTCAAGGGAAAATGTGGATCAAAATTTACCTTGATCTCTGCAGTAGCTGAGGAACTAAATGGGGGACCTATGACTCCTCCTCCAGATTGGACCACACCTGATCCAGACTACTCTCCATCTACCCCTGAACCAGTTACACCTCCTCCTTCAGAGTTTTGTGATTCTCCTGGAGCTAAACCCAGTCCTTCCAACTGCCATGAGTACTATACCTGTAATATTGGATCCAATGGGTGGGTTATTCGTCCTCAAACCTGTGGAGATCTAGCTTTCAATCCAGCAACTGGAAACTGTGATTGGCCTTATAACGTTCCAGGCTGTGATGAAGGGACAACAATGGAAGGAGGAATTACAGGAACACCTGGAGAATGTAAGCCAGGAGATCCATTACTTCCAGTTCCTGAGGATTGTCAAGCATACATGGAATGCAAACCAATGGATGATGGTTCCTTCCATTATGCTGAACATCGTTGCACTGATGGTCTTGCCTTCAATCCAACTATTCAGGGCTGTGATTGGCCAGAAAATGTTGACGGCTGTACAACCCAGTGATGTAGTTCTTTATATTTCAACTTTTGTGTTTTATCAGCAAAATATGTTTTATATTGAAAAAAATAAAGGAATTACATTGTACAATTGAATGTATCTAATTCTTAATACATAAAACAAAGAATATACTTTGTATAAATCCACAGTGTACTGCACTTTTGGAGAGGAATATATTATATTAATTATGTTAGTTATATAATATAATTATACACGACTTCACAAGTGTCAAATATAACTAGGAAAACGAAATGTTATCACACTAGTTGACATGTTTTCCAAGATTAAAGAAAAAAGTGTAAAAACAGAAAATAAAGAACACATAAAAGTGCACTTATTTTACTGAAAGATAAGCACTTCAGTCTAAAATTATCACTATTATTAATAGTTTTGTCGGACACAACAATTAAGTTGTCACTTGTGAAGTAAGACTACATGGCTGTGTACTGAGAGTTTTTAAATGCTACTTTGCTATCTACTGAACTAAAATCTATTTTCTCAGACCTATTTATATTTATAACCCTTCTAATTAAAAACTGCATGATACTATTGTTCTGTAAAAAAAAAGAATTAAATTAACTATAATAAGTACAGAATCCTGAAAGATATTTAAAAATATGAAAATTTTGCAGGTGTTGATTTTTCTGTGAAAGTTCTCAATATTGCGCAGGTCATTTTTTGATTTTTTTTTCATCTAAGACAAACTTTTTTGCCCAAATCAAGTTTAATACATAAACAAGAAAATTATATTTAAAAATTTTTACATCAATATTAATGTTTATGTATCCATTTTTCAAATATGTAAATTTTAGACAAATCAGTTAAATTAAAAAAAAAAAATATTTTTTAAGACTTAATTTTAGGGTCTTGAAATCAGGCTTCAACTCTGGGATCTAGCTGGCCAAGACAGGTTTATAACTTTCATATTTTTTTGTAATGATGGATTTGATCCGACTGACAGAGTCCTGCGGTTTTTTTATGAATTTAGTACACCTTTAAAATCATCGCGAATATTCTTTATGTATTTATCTTCAAAAAAATAAATTAATACATTCCTAAAAATCCCTGACTTTCGAGAAGTTTATCCTTCCAACTTTAGTAATTCTTTGTTTGTAACATGAAGCAGCATTAATTACTGAGCAATTTTTAAAGCGAAAATCAACAAATCCTTTTGCTGCTTCCTTTATTCTGGGTTGTATTTACTATATATTACTATATAAAAATTCATTTCCTTCTTAACATATTGTCTTTACCATGTTCTTGGAAATATTGTAAGATTTAATAAAAAATTGATAAAAATAGGATTTTTACAAGTTCCTAAATAATTTCACAAAGAAAGGATGCATTTACTCAGATTACTTTTACCTTTATGAAAGTCGTCTTCAAAATTTAAGAAAAACATTGAAGAATTATCAAAAAACAAGCCATACATCTTTAAACAATTCAAGATTGTATTTAACTTCATTCATGGATTTAATTCAATATTAATTTAAATTCAATCATTGTATTAAATTCAATCATTGTATTAAATACAATCATTGTATTTGAATTCAGTCATTGGATTTAGATTGGATCATTAGATTTAGATTCTATCACTGGATTTAAATTCAATCATTGGTATAAATTCAAGCATTGGATTTACATTCATTAATGGATTTGAATTCAATAATGAATTTTGTTTTTCATAAATTCCAGATTTTGTAACCCTATTTCTTTATGATACGCTTAATCTTCTCAGGAGTTTTATTTTGATAAAATTTAGATAAAACTATGATAAAACTATTTTTATGATTTTTCATAATTTCAGGTTTAATCATCTTTCAAGATTATACTATAAACAGGCTTCAGGAGTTCTTCTTGGTAAAATTAATTTTTATGTTTCTCGGATTTATTTTTTATGTGTGTTTGCTTTAATGATTAATTGATAATAGTCTTTATAGAAGATGAAAATCTATAGTAACGTACATCTGTCTATACATATATATCATTTAATGTAATAAAAAATAATCTGAAAAGATTTTTCTTGATAAATTTTTAAAATACAACATTGATCATGGTTGATATTACATGTCAAAATAATTCGAATTGATTTAAAAATGACTAATTGATGTATTGCTTAATTAATTGATGTATTAAAAAGTGATTAATTGATTAAAACATGATTGATTGATTGATTGATTGATTAGTGTGTGATGAGACAAAGCCAGATAGTCTGGATAGTATAGTTAAATGGAAAGGAGAGTTGGACGCCAGGTAGTTTTTAGAGAGACATGCCTGATTCACAATTGTACCTCTTAAACTTTAAAAGATATCTATTTAGTAAGAACCCACAATTGGGAATAATCAATTTTAAAAGAGAACAACATAAATGTATCATTCATTTTTATGAGACAATACTATCAAGGGGTGAATTGGAGGGTTACTTGAATTTATTATTAAAATATTATATTCAATTTATTAAATATCTGTTTATCTGTTTATACGGTGATGGTCATAAATAAAAATATTATTTATTTTTTCCTATAACTGCAACTGAGGAACATTTTCGTCTGACAACTCGGATTTATTAACTTCGTGATGTTTAACATCACAAAACATATTGCAACATTTTTTTTTCTCAAGTACGGTTTTTAGTAATTTGAAAATCAACTTGTGAACCCAGCTTTGTCAGAATAGTTGTTTTGGAAGAGTTTCAAGCCGTGTTTACAGTCTTATACGTAGCTGTAGGGCCCGGCGTTGCCCGTGGAGTTTGAATTTTTTTTTTCAATTTTCGATCTTTTTAATAAAAATTCGATTTTTGAAAAAATACAAATTTTAGAATTTATTTGGTCTATGTAACCCCTGGCCCTTGGGTATACATGGGTTCCCTCAAAAAATGTCAGTCCATTCGGTTGAGGCGTTTTGCCGGCACAAGGAAACATATGTACGAATGTCTTGTTTTATTATATAGATGATTGTATTTAGGTTGCAGTACAAAATTCCAGCAGTGTTGTTAGTAAACAAGGTGCAGTCCAAATTAAAAGATCAAGAAATATATGTAATAGGAACTCCCAAAGCCTTGTTCATTTACAAATGTAGCGTACTTCACAGTTTGTATAAGAAAAATATTTTGTTTATAACCTCCCAGAAATTCCAGTACACTTAGAAGATATGGAGTTCCCATTGTATATCTTTTTACAATGCAAATTCTAGCTCAAGTTTAAGACTTTAACTTGTATAGAATGTGGCATGTCCGATTCTCTAATCAAGAATGAATGAGATATCCATATTTTTATCTTTGAAGAAAAGCCAAAGAATAGGGTTTAAAGGCACGGATGTGAATTGGGCTTGCTCCTCTCTAAATGGAGGGTCACTTGAAATTAAAAAGACATCCCCTTTAAGTGACGAGTAAAATGTTAACATATTTAAAACAATGAACATGCATATATCTCTTTTCAAGGATTAGAGATACATCTCTAATTTAGGGGTTTCCAAAAGAATCTCAAAAATAAAACTTTATAGGTTTTTATAGAGCGTTTTATAGGACGTTTTATAGGACGTATTATAGGACGTTTTATAGAACGTTTTAAAAATCATTTCTGAATTCTGACACCCCTAGGCTAAGTACGCCAATATAATTCACCAAAACCATTCTGCAGTCCTTCAAGTACAGTACTGCAGTCCTTCAAGTATCATACAAGGAAATTTACATCGTTCTAAATATCCCAGGGAAAGATTTGACAGATTCTTTAATCTGTCTGTTTTTATTTTAAAATTGACTGAGATATCAAGAATTAATCTCAGTTTCAATTTGTAAATAATAACGTACTGTAAGACTAAATCACATTTAGGAAATCTTAGGCGGTCGTAAAATTATTGAGATACTGTTACATATCGTAATCTTACTTTTTTGACTTGTCTAATTTTGAAATTTTAAATCTTAAATTTTCAGACGGATCTCATAGATGACGAAGATGAAGGGTTTTCAGAAGACG